ATTTGCAGCACCTGTAGGAATGCAGATGCTTTCCCACCTAAAACTAACCTAAAATGGGGTCCCGGCTGCCTCACTACACGGCCAACAAAAAAAATCACGCCGGTCTTCTGTGAGGTCGTGGTACTTATCCGAACGGACCTGCCAATTCGTACGACATCCGAATCCGTTGCGTGCAGTTCTATATTATCTGTCACATTCACTTATATATCTCATATAGTGTAAATTGGAACAATTTTTAAACGCCGCGCAGTATGAACATGCGTCATCTATATTATAGAACATCATTCACTGGAAGGCACATGAAACTGTGCAGGTTTATGTTTGCTCAAGGAAGACCGAGTCCTAATAAACTTGAACCATTGCACTCACTCCTTTAACTATATCCTCTGTTAATATATCATCTAGTATAAAGATTTGTTAATGCTGAATTCCATATGAACCGATCTTCTTTGAAACAACCCTTATTGTTAATTTGGTGCAAATTATAAATTAGTTAGTGAGTAGGTGCAAGGTCTGGTGAGTATGGCGGATGAGGGAAAGCTTCCAACCCCTCAAACTTTTGCAGATTGGACACTGTCTGTTGTGCAGTATGGGTCGAACGTTGTCGTGAAGGAGCAGGGGGAACGACCGATTGACTAAAGCGGGTTGCAGATTTGCGAGCTCCTCCAACATTTTCTTCAGTTCTTCACAGTACACATCTGCAGTAATACTCACGCCGATGTAAAAAGCTGTTATGAACCACCACGGGACAGCAGTGATCAACCCCATTCAAGGGGTCATTTTTCGCTTAAGGCCTTACTTTGGTCCTGGACCAGGATCTAATCAACTTGCTGAGCGAGCTGAGAGTATTGATGCTTACATAAAAAGCTGCTGCTAGCTCGGCTGTAGATTAAGTATCATCAGCTTCCACAATTCATCACTGTTGACAACAATGTCGGGACGCCCACGAGTTTATTTTTTAAGTAAAAATTTATAGAACGGAACCAATAACGTGGTGTGCGATCGTTTGTAAAGTTCTCTCAGTAAACATTGTGGCAATTTACCTGCCGTTTATGCCGCGTTTGTGCATAAACTCATATTCCATAATTACACGAATTTTCAAAGAATCCATGACCAAAAATTGTTCTTATATAAAGAAGAAAGAAAATACAAAGATAATCAATAAACAAAAGGCTGACTTTGTTAAAAGAATTTCATGTTTATAAAAGAAAATTAATTTGAATTTAGAATTCACAGCCAATCAAAACTATTTTTTTATTTTTTTTATTGCAAGTACTAAAGAATGGCAATTTCATAGGTCTTACAATCTTACAATAATTAATTTTAAGTTATTCAATGAAGGGCATTTGTTGAAACTGTATAATCAATTCGAAATCATTCAATTAAGTGCCTAAGAAACTCTATAAATTACGTAAACGTAGGTAATGTTTATTTAAAGACTTGAGAGATTTCAAAGTCTAGATAATTTTAAAATTTTTTAGATTTACTTTCGAATATTACTTCGATTCCAGAACAATGTTCTTACAACGAAACAAGTGCACTTCGTAAATTCATTATGATTCCAATGAGACCAAGATGAATGTTTCTTTATTTACCATAGGAATATTAAATTATTGACCTATATTAATTTTGTGATTGCGACTAAGTCGATTCAAAGCGAGGTGTACTCATTTGGTCAGCGGCTTATCAACGGTTTACCGTTGGATATTAATAATAATTATTTATAAAATTCATAACAAATAAAACTGAACATCGGGACGTGATGCGTGTTTCTCGCTATCATTATTCAATACACCAAAAATTAAACGAAAGTAAATTGCTTTGTATAAACAATATTTTGTTTATAAATTATACAAAATTCTACTATGACTGAGGTGTACAACATTTTTTTATTACTACGGTTAAAAAAAGTTTTTCGGTCTATTTCTGCTTATTGACAGTATTCATTTTATTTATTATACATTTATAGTTGTAAAAGACAAACAAACAGGGAAAGCCATTAAGCCAACGGATTACGCCGTAAACTTTTTCCTATATTTCAAAACAAATTAGAGTTATAAAAGCCTTGACGTTAAATGTTTTTTACTACACATGGAGACAATTAAATCGCTTCTAAATCTTACTACGCATAGTAATATTTTCACAGAAATTAATGAATAATAAATTTGGCATCATTGTTTCAATGGCGATGATAATGAGTCAATATTATTTTCTGAAATTGTACCGTTAAGAAAAGAAAGATTTTGCGTTTATGCTTGTCAAAATTCAAAATGTCACGATTAAATGCAAAATCGTATAAAAATATATTTTAGATAGGCCATAATTCTTATGTACCTTCCCCACTCGATAAAATGAGTGGTAAATTATTTCTCACTGCGAAACTGAGAATATCGAAAATCAACTACGAAAAAAAGGTAATGGAAGTAATGTATCCTGTTGCAAGATTAAATAGTAACACATTAATTGTGACGCTCAGCCTATACATTGGACTGCTCGACTCGATAAATGTATATGTTTTCACTCTTACAGTATACGATGACTCCCTGACGCAATCACCATGGTATTGGCTTTGACGTCGAGGGTCGTGGGTTCGATTCCCACACGAGACAACTAATTGTGTGACCCACAGATAGTTGTTTCGCATCTGGGTGTTTGTCAGCGTGAAATTTATGATTGTAAAACGTCCTGACAACACAGGATAATGTTATCTTAAATTAAGGGCAATGTTTTTTTTTTTTTTAAATAAAAGAAAAAGTATATACTCAAGGAAATTCAATTTCCTTGGTTACTTAAACTTGACAAATTTGTTGTGTGTTCTGTTTAAAAAATATAATGCTGCTATTACACTTTCATCCATAAAATACCTTATGACTGTGTAAGACTACCGGCTGGGGTGGCTCGTTCCCGAGAATAAATTACGGGACCAAATACGAATTGGAGAAAAAGTATGTCTCGTATTTATGCAAAGCTATAGTCTCATCAAAACCATCTAAACAATCAATCTATTAGGTAGAATGCTGGCGATGAATACCTTCATCTTGCCGAAGGAATTGATGTTAAAATTTTAGAGACATCAAATCATAAGGCCAAATTGCGTGACCATACCCTACCTTTTCTAATGATAACATAGAATGTTTATCTATCTCCCGAACCACTTTCATACCATCTTATTGTGCACGATATTTGAGCCCCGATAATCATGCGCGGTGTTATTTGTAATAATAATTCCAGTTCGCTCTCCTCTCATAGCATCGATGAACTAAGAATGACTTTGTCAATTATCACATTATTTAATTTGCCGTAGGATTACATGCTGCAAAATTGGGTCTTATTTCAATTAAATCAAGTATTCAACGTCAGCGAATTAAAGCAAAGCGCATAATTTCTTGGTTTTTGTATTATCTGTCTTCCCACTGTCCTGTATCTGTTTCCTTTTCATATGTATTGTAAAATCGTTTCCTTTTAAAAACGTTAATTATTACGGTGAAATATTTTTAACATTAAAATTTTTGACTATAGTTGGCTTAATAAAATATTTATGAAGCCTTGAGATTTTATATTCATAGTATTGTATAATAATGTTGTTATTTGTTTATACAGGGGACAACCGTGGAGGAGCGAAATCAGTCGGGGCTAATTTAGGAGTACCGAAACCAGTAGTAGCTAAGCCACGATTGGTGAAACCAGGAGTGGTTAACCCAGGAACTGCAAAGCCAGGATTGGTGAAACCAGGAGTGGTTAACCCAGGAACTGCAAAGCCAGGATTGGTGAAACCAGGATTGGTTAACCCAGGAGCTGCAAGGCCAGGTGTTGCTAATACATCAGGGGCTTTTCGAGGAGGAACTAAACCAGTTGCAGTCAGGCCAGACACAAGTTATCCAGGACCGCCTAAGTTAGGAGTGCCTAGGATAGTGGAGCCTAAGGCTGTGATCTGTTCCACAGATTCCGAAATACCTAAGCCGAGTATAGCAAGGCCGGGAGAAGTTAAACCAGGAATTCCTAAGGTAATAATAGATAAGCCGGGAGTAGTTAAGCCAGGAATACCTAAGCAGGAAATACTTAAGCCGGCAATAAATAAGCCAGGAGTACCTAAGCCGGCAATAAATAAGCCAGGAGTACCTAAGCCGGGAATACCTAAGCCGGGCATACCTAAGCCGGGAATACCTAAGCAGGGAGTACTTGATCCGGGAGTAGCTAAGCCGGAAGCAGCTAAAGCAGGAGTAACTAAGCCAGAAATTACTAAACCAGGAGTAGCTAATCCAGGATTAAATAAGCTTGAAGAAATTAAACCTATAGAAACTAAACTCGCAGGGCCTACATCAGGAGGAGCGAAACCCGGAGCAGTAAATTTAGGAGGGCCTAAGCCGGGAGGAGCTAACCTAGATAAAACAAATCCAGGAGGAGTTATTAATAAGGCATTTAATCCAGAAGGGGCTACTTCAGAAGATTCTACACCAGGTGAGGCTAAACCAAAAAATTCTAAGCTAGAAGAGTCTCAGCCAGGAGCTTCTAGGCCAGGAGTAACTAAGCAGGGGCCATCTAGGCTAGAAGCAGCCAAACTAACTGCATCTAGGATAGTAGGTATAAGATTTTTAGGAGGGGGTAAACCGTCTGAGACAAAGACAGGGACGGCAAAATTAGAAGGAGCTAAATCAGAAGAAGGTCAGCCTGATACTAAAGCAACAGAAGATAAGCCAGGAGGGTCAAATTTCGGAGGAGCTAGGCCAAAAGAAGTTAAGCCTTCAGAGGCTAAGCAAGGAGTAGCTAAGACAAGGGTGAAGAAACCTGCAAAGTCGGAATCCGGGGCACGAGGTAGAATAAGAAGGGCATTTTACAGAATGGCCGCTTTAATATCAAAAGTTAAATTCGCAGTAACCTCTCCTCCGTCTCTGGAGAATAATCCAATTACACAGTACTTCGAAATCGGGAAGGAGGCTGCAACTGCTGGTTCCGGACTGATGTGGAAAGTACATGATGCTTATAGGAAAAGCGATGGCAAGGTCAGTGCTATTTTTCATTTATAACGTGTACTTCTTGGTAACTCGCTTTATCACGTTATAAGTCATTATCACCGCACGAGATTATTTTTTTCAAAAAGCTAACCTATAAGTTAGTTTGACGACCCGAATGGCGTTATGGGTAGTGTACCTGCCTCCTGCGCCAGAGGGTGTGAGTTCGATCCCCACGACTGGATAAATATTGTGTGATGAACATAGTATTTTTCTAGTGTCTGGGTGTTAATATACGTATAATAGGTATTTATTTACAAAATAAAAGTATGTTTAAGTCAGTGTTTCTTAAGTTTTATACTTTCGTATTTCGTGGGATTACCGGGGCGCACTTTTTAAAGGCAGTGCATCTGTAACCCTTTACGTGTTATTGACGTCCATGAGTGGTTATAATCACTCAACAGCGCCCGTACCAAAGAAAAAACGGTCCTTCGCCACATTAAGGCGGGAACCAGTTTGGAGGGACACAAGCATCCTTGCCAGCTTTTAACATAAAAATGGTATCCAGTATGTTAAAATGGTATCTACCGTTTGTGCCACCACCATAAAAGTTCACGTTGACCTTGCCTTAATGGGCTCACGCACAAATAAATAGCCAAAATATCACACGCATGTATTTAAAGTATTAATCTTGACACAATCATAAAAAAGTGATATAATAATAAAATTTAAAATATTAAAATAAAAAATTTAAAAAATTGGAAAGCAATAGACAAATTTTAGGAGAGCAATACAAATGTTTGAGTGGTACTGTACTGTATTATTATTAAATGAGTTATAGTTATAATGTTCTCGAAAAAAAAACTAGTTAATAACTCTTGATTAAACGGCAAAAGTATTTTAAGCTGCTCCGGTATAGCATTACACCATACTTATATCTTACCATCTCGAGAAACTGATATTGTCACCCACAATTCAAACTCTATCGAACGTGAATGCGCCCTATTAAGCGGCATTATTCCAAAGCGTCAGTTATTCTATCTTCCGTAATTAATTGAAACAAGCTTTATCGAGTCGAAATTAATTCAAAGATTGCCTGTGTCAATTCATATAAAGTGACAAGTTAGTCGTTTTATTTTAATTTGCAGTGTTGAATTTTACGAAAATTCAAATATTACCTAAGTATGTATATGTAATATTCGGTATACCCGTAGAGAAAACTTATTACTGTATGGCACATCGCAGGGACTGAATCTAAGAGCGGATGAGAAGGGATGCTGTTAATGATCACAACGAAGTATTCTATATGCAGTGGAAGCAACGCATACGCTTACCCAAGCCCGTGGGTTCTGGCTAGCCCACCGGTTCTGCGTCAGATGAAGCTTTAATAGTCTCGGGACTGAAAGCAAAAACCTCAGTTAATACAAGCATACGCTTATTTAAAGTATGAGCATCATTAATCTGAATGTTTTGTAATTTTTATATAATTATTTCATTCTGCTGTTGTATTATCCCTATCGTGTAAACAAAATTCTTATAACATTACCGATATGGTTTTATATGCATTTTTGTTATAGTTAGCCTCATTTATCTCCACCATAATTATTTTTTCTATTTGCCATGCCACGTGAATACTAAATTAATAGCATAAGTAATAACTAATAATACAACATCATTGCAGCGCAACCAAGGCTTTTAAAATGAGCTCATATCTGCTCGGCAAGTAATTCACTTTTCCTGGTTGTAGGGTAAATTACACTAGGCCATATAATAATAAACGTTAAAGCTTTATATCGTCATCAATTACATTTATTTATCATTATTTCATCACCACTCCCGTATTTTATGTTTTTATGGTTGGTATATACATACATAATTTCTAATAATCTCATTATACTAACTCATCAATTTTCATTGTTATCTCAAAACACCAACGTGCACTAACTTTATTATTGCTCAGATATTTAGCGGCACATTAACTATCTCTCGATCTCCGTCACAAACTTTACTCCTTTACACATTGTTGTATAGATTAATTTCGTATGTTTTCCCGTTCGCAACGTAACATTTTTATTTTATGGTAAGACAATTCTATATCTTATTTGTGTTTTGTATATTCAAATAATTAATGGTGATAGACGAAATACCAGGTAAAATTAAAAATAAAAATATTTAGATACGGGTAGGATAGTGTAAAAACGGGCAGTCTTACGTTTCCATACATTGATTTAAGAGTAATTGTCATCAAACCAATGCCATCCAATATATTAATTATGTCTATACTTCGAATGAGTATTCGGCTTTTATTTAGTATTCGGCCTATTCAGCAACTTTTACCATATTTGGCTGATTACGGAATATTTAGATAGTTAAGGATTACCGTAACGCCGCCAACGCGACGTCACGCCATAGATATGCTGTGACGTCTATAAAAAAAAAACAAAAATTGCAAAATAATTTTTCTTGGAGGTAAGCGAATAGTCTTCTTAGTTTCGGGAAAAACACAATTTACGCTTTTATTTTAATTGGATCGTGATCGTTCGTTGTTGGCCTTTATGAGGCCTTTACATATGCGGTTGCATTTGAGATATCCGGGCACTGAGAGCTTCTAGCCTAAACTTCGTTTATACTCATAAATGATATGATTTAAAGATCTTACCATAGTCTTTCTCGGTCTTACAGAGATCTTTAAATTGCAGAGCGCAGGCAGTTACGAAATAATATACTAACACACTTTTATAATGTAGAATTTATTACGCGGATGTTTTAGAATTTTATCGAAATCACAGTTTTTGCTATTTTGTTTTACTTTACGAACTGTCCGATTTATTTTTTCATAAGTCAAGACACTTATTGTAACTATGTCTATGTTTACTTTTTTTATTAATGAGTTTCTATATGTATTAACTCCAACACTTTCCCTAAACATTTATATAGTACACAATCCTAGCGCCTGGCGTAGAACTGCATATGACGGACGAGGTAGTGCTTTGGTGAGGATGTCTGCGACTTGATCCTTTGTTCCGATCCTTACAACGTTGCAGATACCTTCAGTTACCAATTCTCTGACGTAGAAATGTCTGAGCCGGATATGCTTCGTTCTCTTGTGAAACTCGGGATTGTGAGCAAGACGAACAGCAGCTTCATTGTCCACATGCAGGACCGGTACGCCCGCAATTGTAGTCAATGCCTGGTATATTCTAGCAAGCCACATTAGTTCTCTGCCGGCTTCACTGGCTGCCACAATTTCGGCTTCTGTAGTGGAGATAGCGACCGATGTTTGTCGCTGGCTGATCCATGAAACTGTGCCTCCAGAATAGCGGCAGATCACTCCCGTCGTAGAACTAAAGACTGGTGATCCAGAAACTGGACGTAGAACGTCCAGTTTCTGGATCACCTCCGTGGTCGGCGTCACTAAATCCTTCTAGGATTCCAGGTTTGAGACCAGCTTTATAGGAGATCCCATGCGAAATGGTACCTTTGATGCAGCGCAAGATACGTTTTACCTTGAGCCAATCTGTCTTTGCAGGTTTCTCCAACTTTCTTGAGACAACTCCGATGGCATAAGCAATGTCAGGCCGAGTACCAACCATTAAGTATGCCAGAGCACCGACACCTTCTCTATATGGGAAACAGGAATCTTCCGTTTCTTCTTTCCCTTCTTGAAGAGTCTCTGCCTCAATCGGTGTAGAAACGGGATTGCAGTCACTCATTTGAAAGCGGTCTATTACCTTTTTCTTCCTTTTGGCAGTGCACACGACGTCCAATTGCCCTTTGCCATTCTTCGCGATCGTCCCTTTTCATAGCGTCTGTGAAATTATTTGGGTATGTTTCAGTGATACGTTATCTCTTAGTCTCTCAGGACGTCGAATCAGTGAGCGATCTCTAAGATTATAGCCGGGTGGCGGTGGTTCAGCGTCGTAAAATTCTTCTGGAACTGTGGTTTCTTCTTTATGGTCATGGTCTTCGTGGAGGACTTGATCCGATTCTTCTCCCTCGAGAACATGATCATGGTCGTTGGAGATTGATTCGGGTGTATCTCCCTCGTGAACGTGAGTTTGCTCTGGAGCTGCAAATACTTCGGGTGGTGTTTCTGGTAGTACGTGTTTTACTTCCAGTCGATATAAGCCACCTTGTTTTTGTCTCTTCCCTATTAACTTTCCCGTTGACAATGACGTTGCATTCAGTTGTCCTGGATGAAAAGGTGCTATTCGGGACTCGGTTGTGAAGTGCGAGTACGGAGAAGAGGTTCTTGCTTATGGCCGGAACGTACCAGACGTCTTGCAGGCTGATGTCGATTTGTTTCCCGTTAACATATCCTCTGAGCTGTACTGTTCCTTTGCCTTTGGCACGGACTTTATTACCAGCGGCCGTTATAACAGTGTAGTTCTGATTGAAATGTTCGTAGGTTTGGAAAATGTCAGCTCTGTTGGTGACGTGGCTTGTTGCGCCATTATCAATGTACCATTTCTCATTGTCCCGTGAAACTGTGAAGATTTCGTTGTCTTCTAAAGACATGAGTAACAAGTTAACGGTTTTTGAAGTAGAAGGCGTTGCTGTCTGGGTCGGATTTTGGCTCTTAGGAGGTCTACCGTCACGGATCCATTTTTGACAGTTGCGTACTCTGCGGCCAATACCTAGGCAGTAGTTGCATTTAAGCTTCTTGTCCTTCTTCTCCGTATTCGAAACCAGGGCTTCCGATTGATGCGAAGGTGCGTTGTTACCTTGCAGTGCCCTTTTAAATGCGCAGAGATGACTGGTTAGGCTTTCTACGGTACGGTTGGATTTGGGCAGGAGGAGCCAACTACTTCTGAAGCTGAAGTATGAATCGTCAAGGGTGTCCAGTATTTTACAAACAAGTAGCAGTTCGGATAGCTCTTGGTTACTGTCCTTCTTGAGTTCTTTATTCAGTTCAGTCCAGATGTTCTTTAATTTTGACATGTGGGTGGCAATTTCGTCTGCTTGATCTTTTTTAAAGCTGAAGAAACTCATACACAGGTTGTAGGTTTTATCCTCATTTGTTCCGTCGAACAGCCTGTGGAGCTCTAACC